TCCTAGAGACATGAGGATCTTTTACGTGCCGTAAATCTACGACACGGGACCCACGGCTTAAAGTCCCTTCCGGAGGACTTGTTCCCTGAATTTTTCCGCCCTTAAAAAATCCACGATCTCCGCCGGGTTTGAACCCGCGTACCTTGAGTCATGAGGTGGGAACGTTACCTATAAATAATACCTGTAGTACAAGGTTTCGCACTCAGAATAACCTCCTGAGTGTATGACATGAATCCGTGAATTGATATGTGTATAAAATAAAGAGATGTGCTTGTATTCAACTGGTTTTGGATTCGATCTAAAGTGGTGCCGCTATTTTTCTGAATATAAAGTAAAATGAATATGCCAGGAAAATGACAGGGCACTGAAGACAAGAGTATAACCAACTACTGAAATATCACATGCGTGGAATACGTATCAGAAGCAGAAAGATAGTTCAATAAAATTACAGGGTTCATTAATAAAATGCCAGTATGGCCTGAGGTACTTTCCCGCTGCATTTAGAAATATTTGTGACGTCTAAACTTGTAATGTGCCGGTCACGGTAGCCGAGGGGTCTAAGGCATGTACTGTCTTCGCTCGCTTGGAAACCGGGATCGTGGGTTCGAATCCCACTCAGAGCATGGATGTTTACTCTGTGTGTGTGCGTTTTTCTGTGTTTGTGTACAGGTAGAGGCCTTGCGACGAACTGATCACCCGCCCAAGGAGCCCTACCGAATGTGTAAGATCTATAAAAACCGAAGTGAACGGAGAAGTTCATGGAGGTAGGCCTAGACCCACTGGGGCTGTAGTGTCAAGGGAAAAGAAAAAACTTGGAATGTTCCTTGCTTAATTTGACGGCGCTGTGTATAACTGTAAGGGTAACATTCATGGCATCGAATGAGGAAGAAAAATTTGAAACGGAAAGTTCGTGAGCGGGAGCAGTCATAGATTCCTTCTGGAATATTTATGAAATTAGTGAGAAAAATAAAATAAGGGAGGTTGAAAGACAGAACATGCATCACTCATAGGTCATATGAGGACTGAATATAAAGTTTCATTTTTAAATCTTTATGGAAAAATACCTCTTGAGAAACTTCGGTTTGCATGGGAGAAAATGGAGGCTGCAGCCACCTGCTCACATTGATTCCTCGCTCGCGGATTTTTCTACCCTGAAGATGGAGGCGATACGTTCTTCCGAAACGTCGGTTTACACAAGATCTACACGACGCCATATCCCGGAAGACGGCCTCAGATCCTACAGTGTATTGTCCCTCGTGTGATGAGAAAAATTTATAAAATGGTGAAGAGATAAGGATTATAAAGGAGATCAAAGTCTCTTTCGGGACATTCCCATGGAGAGTTCGAGTGCAAAATCTTAGCCTTGTAAAAGTACTAGCTGGCCAGAAATTAGGAATACAAGTATATGATGTTGCTGCTATACTAGTCTGATTAATTCGAACACTCTGACAGCGATATTCATCAATAATCGCCATTCATTATTTCCTGTCAGTAAGCATTTGCTACAATCAAGACATCACTTGAGCATGCCGAGTCCATAATTCATAGCTTTTAAATTGGAAAGCGGAGTTCAGAACACAAGACACATCACTGCTATTAATTTGAGTGACATACTTGAACCAGAGAAGATGCACGCCTATCCCCTCACCTGTCAAGACCTGTCCCCCCCCCACCTCAATCCCATGTACATGTCGTTCCAAATAAAACTGACACAATAAGAGTGAAAGCAGGTCCACATGCATTCATTTAAAAACAATGATATATTGGTAGCATAACAAGGACTGGTTCCCCTTCCTCCATGACTTGGTCACGGGCAAGGCCGACCGCTTCCACACGCTTTCGTCTCTTCAATTGTTACTTTTTTATAATTCTCAGCGTTCCCTGATGTTAGTACATCGGACAACCGTTATGAGCACTGAACCATTATTCCGTGACAATGAAAATTCAGGCTGTGTGGGAAAACCTAAGAAGAAATCTTCAGAAGGGAAATAGGAGTAGAGCAGCAGAAAGTATCAAGGACGTCTGCACTGCTTTCTCCAGTTACAGACCACAATACCAGGACAAAGCCCCCTTATTACGATATTAACGTAAGCTTTGACTAATTACAATAACTCGCTTTGAACGATGTAAAACGAGTACAAAATCCACAGAAAATTGAAACTGTAAGATTTGAGGTTTTCAAGGCGGTGATTATGAAGACTGCCATCTTCTGGGATGTGGCGCCGTGTAGATATCACCGAAACTGACGTTTCGGAGAACGATCACCTACTCACGCTAGTTCCTCGTTCGCAGATTTTTTATACCCTGAAAATAGAGGCGATACGTTCCTCCGAAATGTCGGTTTACACAAGATATACACGGCGCCACATCCCAGAAAACGGCATTCTTCAAAATTAAAAATATTCTAATATTATTGCCTTTTATTATAAATTACTCTTCATTTCCTTTAGGAAAACAGTACGATAGAAAAGAATTGACTTTTTTCTTTTTAATTTCTTTAGGTACAAAGACATTACTCGACATATGAGGCCCCTATTCATTTATGTCTCTATATGGTTACACTTGAAGACTGAAATATAGATGGAATTCTGGGTTCCTCTACATTTAGCATACTAGCAGTAGCCCTGTGTCGGAAACCTCTTAAAGCCCAGTCGTACTGTTACCGTACACAAGTAGAACTTTTTATTTATTAATTTGAGTGTTATTCCCTTATAATTCTTGCTTCTGCGAACTGAGAGCCTGTCGCTAGACAATTAAACAAATGCACGGGATGATATGACCATTCAATTCTACGTGCTATGAACATTTTCCTTTTCTCGCTAATGTATATATGTATTTCTTACACATATGTCCAGGCAGCTTCAGAATTTTATGTAGAAATCCCCCATAAATTTGGTTTCTGCACGATTATTCAAACATTGCTTTCATTCAACTTAGCTCTCTAAACTCAGTTTTCAGTACTGCCTGAAATAACGTATTCAGCACCTTCACACTGCAGGGGGAATATTTATTACAGAAGAGGTTAGTCTAGAGGTAAACATGTATTCGGGAGATGTTAGTTTCGAATCACGGCAAGGACACTGTCTATTCGACTGGTGTATTTTGCGGTATTTCTCAGTCCTTCAGAGCAAACGCCGGGGGTAGTAGCTTCATTAGGTCACGACTTTCCTTCCAGTTCCCTTCATGTTCATCTTCTTGCCATCTGACAATATATCGCCTCTGTGCCTTGTTAAATAACCCAAGAAAGAAAAATATTTAGCGCCCCCTCTCCCAAATCTCCAGTTTACACTCTCGGAATCTACCTACCTACCTAAACTTCTCTTTTCTTTACTATTACAGTACTTGTATTAAACTTCGAGTGAAAAGCCAGCAATTAATTGTGAAGCAACAAAAGCAATGAGTTCTGTAACAGTCATTCCACACAAGCGTGTTGCCATAACAGTGAGGAGCAGCACTGCATCGGACGAAAGCAAAGTCACGTGTCAAACGTGTTTTCTGGACCCTTTCAATGACGAGATGATAATGCAAAATGATGACAGGATATCGTGACAGAAAACAGTTATGTAATTTGAGAATTATATCATCCATTTTTGGCGTTTACTGTTTGAAATATTTAACAGCTAACGTGTAACCGTACATCTTACACAGCATCAAATGTTAAATGGAGTGTAAATGGATAATCGGTGAGAATATGAAAGAAAGCGATAGTTGCCTCTTTCAAGGTACTATTCCAGAATTTGCCACTAAACATTTCAGTCGCAGTAAGAGGTTCTGAAGGTCAGTATTCGAATCCTGGATTTCTGGAATGTGAACCAACACATTCTGTAACCATTTCGTAAAACATCGTCAGAGTTGTTTTTGGACTTGATTATATTCTTTTCAACTGAAATATCTGGATTTGGGCGAATGTTGCGAAGTCCAGTAGTTACTAACTTCGAGTTTTCGCTGCAGTTCACTCCTTCTATTGATTTAGTTCTTTACAATATTTATGTGTAAATGTTATCAGTTTTCCGAGGTTTCGGAAGTATATACTTTCCCTTTCTTCAGAATTAAGGCGATTCGACGCTGAAGAGATACTGCCCTCGCGAAATGTCGGATAAAAGTAAAAAAGTAAAGCTAACCCTGTAACAGGCCGTGAAGGCCCATAGGGTTGTGAGACGTCGAAGGTCCCACATTATCTAGACAATCGGCTCAAAGATGGCGGTAAGATTGTCAGCCTTACGCACCAGCCGCGCTTTACTCCCCATGAAAATTATTTAATTAATTCCTGGTACTCATTTCTGTTAGAGGCTGAGTCGACCTCAGGGCCATAGTGCGGCCGGAAGGATTAGGTCAATTGAAAATATCCAATGACCTCATCGGGACTTGAACCCGCGACCTTCCGGCTTGTAGAAGATTGTCTCAATTAACTACGCTACCGCATGCTCCTCCCTCCCCGAAATGTCGGATATACTACCCAAATTCACACGGTCTCAAGGCCCAAGAACTGAATGAACATGAACTATTCTTATTTTAGCAGTTTCGCGTTCGCATAACAATTATTTTCTTATTCTTGAATAGTAAAATATTAAGCTATCCCTGTAATAGGCTGCGGAGGCACATAGGATTGTAAAATATCGAGGCTTCCACATTTTCTAGACAATTGGCTCATAGGTGGCGGTGAGGCCAACTTTACATGCTGGCCGCCATTTATCCTCAGGAAGACTTCCGGTACTCATGTCTGTCACATCACAGCGTAACGATTAGCTCTGCTACTTCAAGTTTTGTGGATTCGAATCTCAGTTAGAGATCAATTAATTTGATAGAATTTTTAGCGATATTCTCAGCATTTCAGGCGAATGCTGGTGTAGCAGGGCTTACGTATGGCAAGCAGCCTCTTCCTACTCCCCGTTTCAAGATCATAATATGTTCCCAAGCTGTACAATATCCGTAGTTATTAAAATATAAATAAATAACGAAATATTCGGTGAAAACTGTAAAGTTGTTCTTGCTGCCCGCAGTTACTCGCATCACTCACGGCTATTGCCACTGCTCGCCCTGGCGGCATCGGTGGCGGAGGTGGATTTGGGGGCGGTTTTGGAGGCTCTGGATTTGGTGGAAGCGGTGGAGGAATTGACACATACTCCGCTCCTCCTAGTGGAGGTGGAGCTCCATCAGGGGGATACGGTGCTCCCGTGCCACAGTATGGACCACCAGCACAAGCACCTGTGATCCACAAACATGTGTATGTGCACGTCCCACCACCAGAACCCACATATTATGCACCAAAGAAGTCCCTGCCACCTCCTCCACCCCCACAAAAACACTACAAAATTGTATTCATCAAGGCACCTACACCACCTCCACCAACTGTTCCCGACATCCCAGCCCTCCCACCACCCGACGAACAAAAGACTCTGATCTACGTCTTGGTCAAGAAGCCAGAAGAGGCACCAGAGATTCACATACCAACGCCAGCACCAACCAAACCATCCAAACCTGAGGTTTACTTCATCAGGTACAAGACGCAGGTAAGCAAAACGATATTCATAAGACTTTATTTCAATTAGAAAAAATTGCTCCTATATCTAGAAAACGGGGAGAATACCCTAGTCCCCGAATTTTGAGACCTTTTGGAGTAGAAAGAGATTCCTCACTAAGAAACAAGACTGGGAGGGACACAGATCAGACCTGAACGAAGCGACGAGAGTAAATGGCAATCCTGCTCCAAGCAGTAACTCACGGCACATAGCTATACTTCACTGCACAACAACTGGATGTACCAAAATAAGTATTTTCTATTTTTTTCTCATGGGGTGAGATTGAGTCTATTTGGTACTACGGCCACTACTGGACTATTGTACCAGCCCCAGATTATAGGGGATTATGATTGTGGACCAATTGGTGGATTGTGAATTGACAAGGAAAACCGAAATACTCGGAGAAACCCTGCCCCAGTGCCCCTTTGTCCACCACAAATTCCACATGACCTGAGCGGGGCTTGAAGCCGGGCGCTCGCGATGGGAAGCCGATGACTAACAGCCTGAGCCATGGCGCGGCCAAATAAGTATCTTATTAGTTATATTCCGATACAATGTAGCTAATTCAGTAAATGATGCCTGTTCGTAATTTAAACAAAACGCATGAGGCTTAATATCCTTCAAGTTTTCTGAAGTTTCAGTAAATGACCAATTTCCCGAACCATTTAAACTCTCCATACTGACTAAAGAAGACAAATTATTTTGTCAGAAAACCTACAGTTGTCATCACAACATTATGCGCTCTATGCTATAGAGCTACAATTAAATGCTTTAGAGCCATCAACAGTAGATGGCTCTAATATATCATTCATTCATCAGTAATCTGTCAGACGACAGGTCCATAGTCTCTTCCAAAACAGTTCCTCGACTTAATGCGATCTAGAGCTTTACCTTTCAAATGAAAATATCCTCGTCTGTCCCCAAGGTCATCCAGCATCATCTCACGTCTTCTTCCTCGTCTTCTGGTCACTTCTATCCGCCCCTCTATCTTTCCTTCAATAACTTCTTTTAGAAGGCAGTTACTGCGTAAAACATGACCAATCCAATTAGCCTTCCGTTTTCTTATTTCGTGTAGGATATTCCTCTGCTCACTGACTCTAAATAACACTTCTTCATTTCTCACATAATCGGTCCAACTGATCTTCTCCATCCTTCTCCAACACTACATTTCGAAGCTTTGCTGGTGTTGGTCCTTATATATCATTAATTTATGTTTAAAATTGGATATTAAATAATTTTAACACACCGCAGTAGTCATGAAAAGTTGTATCTTCTGGAATATAACTCAGTGAAATTCGGTGAAAGTGAACCGACGTTTCGGAGGAATATGTCACCTCCATTTTCAGGGTCGAAGAATAATCCAAGCAAGAAACCGGCATAAAACTGGTAACAAACAGAGATCCTACTTGACTTATTTTTCGACCTTGAAAATGGAGGTAACATGTTCCTCAGAAATGTCTTTTTACTTGGGAAGGACTTCATATTGCTATATTCCGGAAGTTACAAATCTTCGTTTTTACATGCAAAATGTCAACGTGTTTAATTAGGAGTTTTCATTAATATTTTTCGTATGGCTTTGGCAAAAGAAACATTAAACATAATCCCGTTTTGTTTGCTATTTTTCAGTAGTTAAAGAGAAATTAATTTTAAGTATAATACAATATATTGTTCAGAGGTAGAACAACGGAGCACTTTCTGCTCTAGGTAGAAGCCTGTCGCTTCAGGCCAAGTAATATACGGAGAAATTTCTGCATGTATCGCCTGACTGTAAACACACAAACGTTACATTACACACAACATAACGGCATTGTAGGCAGATGTATGCACCAGCTTATAACAACATTATTTAAAATGAAAGCTGCATAAGATATAATAAGAAGCATTAATACCTGGCAATCATTAGCAAACAAACTTTCGCCGCAGAACGTGTTCATTAATTTCACTACTGACAGAACTTTTTCCTGTTTTGTACAGATATTAACACCATTAAATTTATCGGAAGTAATATTATCAAGAAGACGAAAATTTCCAATAACGAAATATCTTTAAGATATAAAAGGCCCATATCGGAAGATGAAAGTAAATGTATTTTATGTCACTGAACATGGGGAGGTATGAGAATACTGGGGCTCCTTTTGTCACATTTATCATACCTAACAAAATTTGCAAAACTAAAAGGAAGTACTAATGTTCTATATCAATTTACATCAGTCAGAATTTACTAAAATGAAACAATGATAGTAATATCATCAGGTTAAATTAAGCCACAGTATTATTTTAGTTAAAAGTTCTGGAAATTGGGGAATGTTATTTTATTATTCATGAAAATTGCGACGATTAGATACAAAAATTCAGATCTACAATCCACAATGAAGTGGATAACAACATGAAATATTACAAGTGTGTTGTAGTACGCACAGTAAATTCTGGAATTTACGACTGCTTCAATGTATTGCAGAAGGAATCAAACGCAAGTCTAACAATTACTGTTTCGATATTATAAGGTATAATGTCGCGTACTTAGGCAAATCTTCGAATTATTTCGAACTGAAACTGAAATAATGATTCAACATAAACGTGTTTATGTCCTCTTCCTAAAAGTATCTTGATTTCAAAGCATCAGAAAACTGAAAATTCTTGTTGTGATAGCGGAGATTTCGTGAATTAATAATAGAAAATATTCCAGAAGAACTATGATCCTGTGGCCCTAATTGTATCCAATTTAGAAGGCACAGAAAAAATGCAGATGTATTTCAAAGTCTAGTACAATCAGTAACTATCATATCTTCGTGAATTGTGATGACAGATTTCGGGATATAGAAATTTGCAACCGTAAGCAACAGTGACGTCAGCTTCTCTCTTTTGTTGAAGTTAGGGAAGAGCAGTAACCGTGCCCAACGTGACACAGGCTTCAGGATGGGCCGTCTGCTAATATTGCCTCTGTCGAAATGTTACCTGGCTGTTTAACTTTAGCGTACCGAGCTGTATGTTTTATGTCGCTCGTTGAATGATCTATCCTTAGGTAGAAAACAGCAAGTAATTCCAGACAAGTGTTGACAGCGCGTGAGTCAGAGTTGGTTTTAGAAATTCTTTGCATAAAGTGCATAAATTAATACACAATGAGAAAATACATCTGTTCATCTGCACATTTCGTCTCTGAAAATACAGAACTGGATTTCTACTAAATGTGGCATTGGATATGTGCACTAACAATTTCAAGCTACATACAATACTGGTCTTACTTCATACATAGCTGAAATTTAGGTTTACATATATTTTTAAACGGATCAGCGCACAAAAATATTGTAGACTGACATATGAAGTAACTGATCAATATCTGCAGTTTTTTTTTTGAATCTTTAAAATTTGGTGTAAGTTTAAAGAAACAAAACATTTTTACCGCTATGGTCTCCAGTGAATTATCGTTACAGAAATGGATATCTGTCTGCAATACATGAATAGCTATCTATGCGATTTGCAGCAGAACAAAGAACGCACTTCCAGATGTATGCAGTACACCTTTCCACTTATGTTAGGCTATTCTAACCTGAGTTCTCTTACACAGATTTCTAGTGTTGCAGTATTTCCGTTCACACTGGACCCGTCAGACTCCAAATAGTTTGAGGCAGTACAGTATAACTGTTGCAACTTCTCGCATGTAAAAACTTCAACTTAAATACAAATAAAAGCATTATTTTCTATTGCTAGTGGGTAGGCGTATGTGGGTGGACAACATTAAAATGGATCTTGGAGAGATAGGATGGGATGGTGTTGATTGGATGGATCTGGTTCAGGGTAGGGACTAGTGGAGGGCTCTTGTGAAGACGGTAATGAACCTTCGGGCTCCTTAATATGCTGGGAAATTCTTGAGTAGCTGCAGAATTGGCGTCTCCTCCAGAAGGGCTCAGCTCCATGAGTAAGTAAGTAAGTGGGGTGGGACTAAGTGCCTTGTACTGCGGCCACTTCTGGCCTATTGTACCAGCCACAGATGATAGTTGAGGGTGATTGTGGAGCAATTGGTGGAATGAAGATTGGCAGGGGAAACCGAAGTACTCGGAGAGAACCTGCCCCAACGCCACTTTGTCCACCACAAATCACACTTGACCAGACCCCGGGATCGAACCCGGGCCGCCGCGGTGGGAAGCCAGCTACTAACCGCTTGAGTTATGGCGCGGCCATAATAAAAACATTAAATACAAACGAGAGTTGTCACACCTTTCAGAAGATAAAGATTCCGGCTACATTTTATTTTGCAGAAGCAGGAAGGCTACGCTCCATCGCAGCCCAGTTCCGGGTATGGAGCCCCCGCACCAGTTCCTTCGGCCCCCGGGGACAGTTACGGGGCACCTGCACCTTCAGGGCAATATGGCGCCCCTAGCGGAGGAGGACCCTACTAAGTGTCTCACGCAACAGATACACAGCAACAGGATGTTCGAACATTCCTCGGGAAGTCATTTTCTTCAGGATGAACGCAAATCTTTTGCAATTGACACGCCATCCAGTTCTTGACATGTTCGGTCTTTGGATGATACTGTTATAAAGTGGCGGTGATAGTGGAGTAAGTTGCAATGGACATTGCTTGTTACAAAAGGACAAGGCTTGAGCAACGGTGAGGATTGCTGAACAAGTGATTTTTTTTCCAAGTTTCAAACTTAGCTTCGCGCTTGATAAGCTCATGAACACGTACAGGAAAAAGATACCACAGATACAATTATACACGTATGTCAGAATAAAGAGGGAAACACTAAGCGTAAGCTTCACGAAAAGAGAGGATATTTCTCTTTCTTTTTGATAAATATTTTGGAAAATTGTGACATTTAAATTATACCCTTCTAGCCCTTCACAATCACATTTCCTATCCTCACTATTGAAACTGTGGTCATGGGATTCTAAACCTAAAAAGAGGCGAGATTTGCAACGATTCAGGAATAATTTTACTTCTCTCGCTGACTTGTTTTCCAACCAAGTCACTGACGTAATGAAGCGCTTTATAAGGAGTCGGGATGAATCTCATGTAGACTAGAAAAGGATGCATGAATATATCTCAAACAGACAATGTCCAGTGCACTAGAACTAACAGTAATTTATGTTCCATTTCGGCGGTTTGCAGGATTGCAACGACAGTAAAAATAATTTGCTGCCTTCCTGTCGTAAGGAGCCTGTAAGTAAGATAGTACAATGTGAACATCTGCGAAGATGAACAAGTGTGAATTTTAAATTTAAGTTGCGAAATAATTGGATAGAACATCTGTTCGCTATTTCAGAAAGCATTCTTGGAAATAGTGGAAACATTTGGACAAACATTACGAATTCAGAACTTATTTATAATTGTCATTTTATAAATATACTTTCCTTAATTCTAATGGGAGGAAAAAGCTTTTGTCATGGAGGTTCATAACACTCTATTACTTTTCCTTATACTGAAACGGTAAAAATCATAGACTAAAGACTTTTTTTTTTTTCAAAATAGGAGTTCGTAGTTCGATGGATAGGCCTACGCCTGATTTTAAGCAATATTAAATTTGTCCATGTGATGGCAAAAGTGTCTTCTTCACTTCAGCGTAATATTAATCGGCGTACAAGATGATGGCTAAACATTAATACTTAAAAGGAAAACTACTTCAGTGGACTTAAATGCCTCTATTTATTTTTTTATTGCTAGTGGGGTGGGACTAAGTCCCTTGTACTGCGGCCACTTCTGGCCTATTGTACCAGCCCCAGATGATAGGTGAGGGTGATTGTGGAGCAATTGGTGGAATGAAGATTGGCAGGGGAAACCGAAGTACTCGGAGAAAACCTGCCCCAGGACCAATTTGTCCACCACAAATCCCACTTGACCAGACCTGGTATCGAACCCGGGCCGCCGCGGTGGGAAGCCAGCGACTAACCGCTTGAGCTATGGTGCGGCCCCTAAATGCCTCTAAATAAGAGCTGAGAACGATTATAAAACAATGTCCATAAGGCAGTCTGTGACTCGATGAGAGGATTAACTTAACCCTTTAATGGAATTCCTTTTAATATTCAATGTAATTTAACGTAATGTAACATGCAGTACTCCTGTTTCCACAACGGGCGCTAGTTCTGCTTCGTCTTGTAACCACGGGTCATGGGAATACTTAACTCTTAATTCAACAAGTTACAAAACTAAAAAATTTTCCCCATTTAAATTTCTGATTTTTTAAATATATTTTGTTAGTTATGCGTGGGACGAAGCATGGTTATGTTTCCATTTCCCCCACTTATTATTTATTTAATTTTTATTTATAATTTTCTTGTGCCAGCTGAACAGTTAACTATCCAGGCACAAACTATACGAGCAGAGTGTTTCCGAATTACTAGACTGCTCTGTGATGACAGGAAAAGGATGTAGATCTTGTAAGGAAATATCTTTATAAAACATGACTGGCCGTCGGACCATAACGCCATTAACGTTCTTCTATTTCCACAGCTGAAATGAAATCTTTCAAGTCTTCAGATTACTAGAAATTATTTTTCTCAGCTACTCGTAGCTACTCGTATTTCTTCTATTTCCAGTAGTAGCTGATGTGACGTTGGGGTTCACCTTTTCCACCACTTACTCCACTGAAACCTTTCAAATTCTTTCTTCAACGCAGTGTATTTTATCCACATATAGCGATGTTCATGTGATCAGACTGAATATTACCTATTGTACTTAGAATTTAAAAACTTACATCAAGCCCATTCAATTAAATTCTAGTATTATATGATGAATGTGATATAATCTATTCTATTAACCTTTAAATATTCTTGTGGAAACATATTGAATTCTTTTAAGTAGATTTGTAATGATTTATTTAAAACATTACTAAAAACGTGACCTTAGAACAGAAGGCAAAGGTGTAATTACATTTTATCCAAACTAATTTGGAATCATTTATTTTGTTATTGAAGTGGTCTCATGATTCGGACTGTATTAGTTTGTATCAATATCTTTCACATTTGTACCATAATTAATTTGTAAATTTTTGTAATAATATGCAAAATGAAATAAAAATATTACTTTTGTACAAAGCTGATGAATAATTTGTAGGAAATACTAATTTAACTAAGCATTATTTATAGCAAAGAACCTAACAAGATGGTCCAGATATTACTATTATCATTATCGAATAGGATATAAAATCAATTTTGAATTTCAGTGCTTCTGACAGACCTATATTTCATCACTCACCGTATCGAATATTCTTTAAACCTGATGGGATTTTTATTTTACTTCATCAAGCCTATTGAGAAATAGTAAAACGGTATGTTAGATTTTCACATAAAGGAGGATTATATGGTTCACGTATGTGTATATGCTTGTGACAATTGAATGTATTTCGAAGATGAACGGGGACCGACAGAAATAATCTTGCGTCAATTTTATGCATTTTTTGCAATGTACGCATAGAAATAAAAGCAAGAAATGGTACCTCTACTTGACCTGTTAGGCAGCGTCTACACGAGCGCACAAAATGCGTCGGTTGCAACGAATATACTTTATGACGGACGTTGCTGAGGACACCACATAGTTGCAGAATGCGGTGCGTAGTTTTTTGTCTTCAATGGAGCCAGAAGAAAGCGTAGCATTCGCCTCTCTTGTTTATTTCTATAATAGACGTCACGACGTTCGTTACAACGGACGCATTTTGTGCGCTAGTGTAGACGCTGCCTTCCAGTTGTGAAGAGACTTCGCCGTACATTCCTTTCGCCTGTCAGACGCCCTTCAGGCTGCTGATCAGAAATGACGGCGCTACTTTGCAGATCTTACAATAGAGGCTTGCTTATAGAAGGCCAGTAACGTTCTGAGCTTGGTGGTTCTCACACTGATTATGTAGGTTACCATTTTCTTGGATAAGATGCCTTACAATGTGATAGAATTTTATCGATATGTCGGGTCGACGAGTAAGCCAAGTAAGCAATAAGCGACAGACATTGCAGCTTCTCTTGCTTAGCTCACTCTTCGATCCTGAGGATGGAGGCAGTGCTTTTCTCCGAAATCTCGATGAACTTCTACTAGTATGCACGGTGTCACACACCACAAAGCAATATTATTTAACCGTTGGAAATATTTCCCATTTTAACTTGTTTTACTGCAAGTAAGGAGATTGAGAGAGGCTTCAACTGAAATGAACGCGGAGCTATGAAGCATGCAGGCGACATGAAGAACGCAAACAATACGACTGATACTGCAATACAAATACTCAGCGTCACCAAAAGAAGAACTGGATCAAGCCTGAACTCTTCTGGCTTGTATCTGGGACGTTCCTGGTTCGAATTTCGGCAGGGACACAAACTGTGATACTGGCTGAGGTTTCTAACGGGTTTCACTCAGTCCCTACAGACAAATGCCTGGGTAGAACCTCAAATTTGGTCGCGACCGCTTCTTTTCACATCCCTTCCAGTTTACTAGTCTCTGTATTTTTCGAGGCTACATAGACTGAGATGCTGAGAGTGTCATTAAATAAACACAAATAAAGAAATAAAATCAACACGACAAATACCAAAGCCCAAAGTCCACATTTACATTGGTGACAATCCTGAACCAATTCCATCTCACATCATACCCTCAAAAACAACTTCTCTAACATACATCACGTTTTCAGTCTTTCGAGTAGGTTTCTCTTCAAACTTCTTGTATGAATGTAAGGTTCCGCTCATCCAAGTTACATGCCAGGTCCACTTTAACATCCTTATTACAGCTATTTTAATATTATTAGGTGATCACCTTCTAGTTGTGTAATATTCTAAACTTGTCTCATGCTTTACTCTTTTCAGGTTAAAGTATTTTTTTATATTTCTCATTGCAAAATATTAGAACATACAACCCTCACTTGAACTACTCCAAGTCTAATTAGAATGATCAATTCGAGGAGGATAAGATGGACAGGACACGTAGCACGAATGGGGAAATGAGGAATGCATGTAGGATATTGGTGGGAAAGCCGGAAGGAAGGAAACCACTGGGAAGAACAAGACGTAGGTGGGTGGCCAATATTAAAATGGATCTTAGAAATAGGATGGGATGGTATGAATCGGAATGATGTGGCTCAGGTTAGGGACCAGTGGAGGGCTCTTGTTAACACGGGTTTCAACTGCAACGAATAGGATACCTCACAAGACGGTTAAAGTTGCGCACTATTGCGTACGCCTCATATTCCGGGCTGTGTCCAAGAGCTCTTCAGAGTATGGTATTTGCAGGCCAAGGTGTAAATTGCGTACTAGGTGAGTGGCTTCAGCGTGTTCCTTTACATAACGCCTCCCCACTCCTCCCAGACATATTTTCCCTCCCTCCCACATTTTCTAGACAATCGGCTAACAGTGGCCGTGATGTTGTCAGCTTTATGCGCCGGCCGCTCTTTACCCTACAGAAAGATTCCTGATACTCATTTTTGTTCGAGGCTGATTCGACCACAGGTACATAGTGCAGCTGGAAGGATTAGGTCAATTGAAAAATGCAATGACCTAATCGGGAATCGAACCAGCGACCTTCCGGCTTGTAGCACAGTGCCTGAACCAACTACGCTACAGCGTGCCCTAAGAGTAACCATGGTAACAATATATTATTTAACAACGAGAAACCAAGAATGACTGCTGAGGTCAGCTCTCATGTCTCCCTGAACCGGCAAGATATTAAAATACGTATGTGCATGAGTCCAGAGGAGCTTGGTACCAACAGTCACTGTGCTCGCAAGGCCCAGCAGAAATTTAGCAGTCAGTCAAGAATGACTGTGCTGATGAAGGCCAGCAGCAAGTAGCTGTTCTGCGTTCTGCTCGATATACAAACTTACAGCATCTATGATTAATGAATAAAAAATTGGAAATGCGATGGAGGGAAACTGTAGTAGCCTAATTTGAGGCAATACTGCGGCATTTGCCTAGAGAGACTAAGAGAAGCCACGACAGATGGCGTCCCGGTCGAGACTCGAATCGAATGCCTCTCGAATCCACATAAGAAGCATCGCCGCTAAAGCCATCTTAGTCGATTGATAGCGATAGTAGAGAATGTAATAATAATAATAAATTTTCAAGCGTTAAAACATACGAGCCCACATGCCATCCTCTCGTCGAAGAGGAGGCCCCATTTCAAAACACGCAGAAGTATGGAAGGAATAAAAATACGGTCATGGGCCCCGACGGGGACTGATGTCAAGAACGACTGCGCTGGCAATTTACTGGACTGGACTGGACACTCTGACGTGATTTTCTTTGAAGAGAACACGCAGAATAATGGTTAACAAATTAAATAATTATTGATGGCATGTGAATTGAATTGAATTGAAAATAATAGTTCATGAGATTTATTCGGTAGAGCTAGGGGCATTCAGAATGCCAAGGTGAAGAAAGCACGTGAAATCTACTGGAGCTGGACAAAGAAAAATGGAAACACGAAGGAACTGAGAATAGAATTTGTGTCGACTACACCGAAAAAATCTTCTGTTGGCAACACTGTTTTTCTTCCGTTTGTTTACACTCTGTAGTGTTCGTGACTGTGCATTAGTGATAGTGTCGAGTGACAATCCGTGTCAAAGAATCGGAAAATATGAGACTTGTCCGATTTTGAAACAGGACAGGTCATTGGTGAGCGTTAAGCTGGAGTATCTCTGACAAAAACCGCGCAATATTAGGCGTATCGAGAGCGACAGTTTTCAAGGTCATGTCGAACTACGAGAATCGCGAGAAGACATCAGAGACGA